CATGTGAATGAATATGCAGTGGCTTTATAGAAGAAAGGACAAGCCGTGAGCTTGGTGTCACTGCAGACAGTTACAGAACTGGAGCGAGAACAGTAACTCTGACAGCCTGAGTCTCCATGTCATCAGATCAGATAGATAGATAGATAGATAGATAGACAGACAGACAGACAGACAGACAGACAGACAGACAGACAGACCGACAGACAGACAGACAGACAGACCGACCTCCCCTGATTCACACAGATGTTTACATTAATCAGCACAGTTTGACAGTAGAATATATCGTCCACGGTCCCTAAAATGATAACAACAACATCAACACTGAATAATAGCATGAGATTTCTTAAGGGACTTTTTGTGAATCTTTTTCCAAAACACCTTGCTTTACTGCGCAAACATTACTGGTTAGATGGGAGCTGTTACACTCGTATTATGGAAAACCGACTGGCTGGTGTGAGAGTGTGTAGAAACTTCAGACAGTGCCCTGGCTTGTCTGTTACCATGGAAATAGGCAATATCATTGAGTCATTTGTGCTGTAGTAACACTGAGGCAGAGTCTTTAGGGTTTTGAATTATTTCTGGCATATTTTTGTCCATAATCCTGAATGGGCTCAGTCATAATGTACCTGCAGCAGCACCGTGACATAGTTAATGTCACATTTCACAGGATGCTTTATTTTCTCTGCTTGAATTAGAGAAGATTGTGTTTATTGCACTTTGTAAAAGATAAAATGCATAAAGAAAGCGGGATTGTATTATGTACACAGATATATAGATTTAAAACACTAAAAAAGATCTTATTAAAATGGCCTTCTCACTTTTAACTGTCTAGCTGCCACAGTTTGCAAACACTTGGCACAGAAAACCTGAGTGAACTTAAAATATTGTGATTTATCAGTGTCAGGTAGTAGTGATGATAAATAACGTCCTTTAGTAGTCATAACATTGACATTTTTTTTCACATTCCTGTCCTATATTGGGTGCCCTGAAAGAACAAATGAGGGAGGAGCTGATGTGGGATAAAGTGTTTACCCGTCTCATTAAGGCTGCTGCCTTTCACAGCAAAGCATTACGCAAATGAAGAAACGTGATTGTATCTCAGCGTCTCTCAGAGATAAAGGTATAAACAGACTGCGGTGGCTGGCCGTCTTTTGTATAGAATATCAGATTTTACATGGCTGCTCAAGCTGTTCCTGACCCTGAACAGGGAAGTGTAAAGATTGCTGACCCTTGCTTTGCCACTTGTGAGTTTAGCACCCGCTGAACTTTCTGAACTCTTGCAATTAAGATTTGGGGCAATATTTTTACGGCTTCAAGATCAGACCAAGACTCGATGGACACAAACTCTACTGGGGTAAAGGTAGAGCACATATCAGGGCACATATCATACTCCCAGTATCACAAATGAAGTCAAACAAGCAATATAAGAAGCTTCTTTCGATTTTAACGTGATTTGTACAATATTTGACAAGGCATAAGTGTACAATTCAGTGATGAGGGACCTTATGCAGAGACACAGCGGGCTGGAGACAAATACCCTTATAATGTGGGCCATCCTCAGTAATATTTCGTCTGATTTTGGTCAAATGCACCCTTATTAGGTCATTAAAATGTTATCTGTTATTTACGGTAAATTGCGAGGGACCCCTCTCCGAGTGTCTGCGCTCTGCCTGTTACGGAGCTCCAAGCTCATCTGCTTGAGCTTGTAGTCCTCATCTGCTCATCTCCGGGCGTCAGCCTGGTGACTGTCCACTGACCGTGACACTAAATGGCTTCTGGAAATGGATGGATGCACGGATAGTTACTTCCTTCATTCTTTTCAGATAATTGTGGTTTTTAAAGTTCTTATAACTAATTATTGTAGCTTTTCCCTTAGTCTTAAAACCCAGGTGTTAATTATATGTTAGGTGAAGTTTTTCAGTCGACCACGTTTCCTGTTAACCTGGAACATTAAAACTTCATAAATGAATCAATTACACTTTTTTTCAGAGAATATATGTAATTTTTTCATCGAACATAAAGCAAATCACAGTTAAGACTTTAGACATGGATGGTGTTTCTGGATGCAAATACTATGTTAATAATGTAATATTATTTTAATAACATTATTGTGTGGTACCAATTATTCGGATTTAATTATGCCTATTTAGTTTGATTATTCGCTGCTTGTTATGGGTGATGAATATAGTGATGTGTTGCTTTTGTTTTTTAGAATAATGTTTTAATCACTTAATGGGGATGCAGTATTTTGATTGGTTCTGCTTTTCATGCTGCTCAAATCTGAGTCTGAGGCTCTGTGATGTTTTAGCAAATGTGCATGGCAACAGGGAAACTCAAAAGCAAGCAGATGAATTCTTTCATAAACCAGTTTTGTGAATTACTGATCATGTTAAAACCCTCTGTGGCCTGAAGATTGCAAACATCAGTGCCTAGAGTCTAAACGCAAACCGTTCCTCTAAATAGGTTTGTCTATTTCTGTTGAGCCTAGGGTTTTGTGAATTGCTTTACATGTGTTTGGGATCAGGGCTGAGATCTTCCAGCCCCCTTTGTCTAGAGCTGATCTTTCAAGGTCATGCGTTCTTTCCATTGTCGTGATCGGGGCTTGTCTGTACCTGTGCAGAGGTAAGGATATTTCATCCTGGGTCCTACTCAGGCAATCTTCATGGTTTGGGGTTAATTTAAAAACACGTTGTTCTTCACTATCACTGTTTTCTGGCTCACTCCTTACCTCGAGCAATCAGGACCAACGGGAGGTTGTGCGTTTGGTTCTAATGTCCGAGCCGCATGAACGCCAACATGGACGCAGTAACGCAGCAGAGCCGAGCCGCATGGACGCCAACATGGACGCAGTAACGCAGCAGAGCCGAGCCGCATGGACGCCAACATAGACGCAGTAACGCAGCAGGGCCGAGCCGCATGGACGCAGTAACGCAGCAGGGCCGAGCCGCATGGACGCAGTAACGCAGCAGAGCCGAGCCGCATGGACGCCAACATGGACGCAGTAACGCAGCAGAGCCGAGCCGCATGGATGCCAACATGGACGCAGTAACGCAGCAGAGCCGAGCCGAGCTCGCTTCTGCCAGGGAGCTTAGCCACCTCTTGCCGCTCTCCCCCGATGGTGGGAGGCCCCGTCTCCATCTGTTTACTCCGTGATCCAGGCCTCGCTGGCTGAGGCGAAGCTGCTCCCCCCCGACACCCGTCCCATTGAGACCACTCTCCATTATGGCCGTGAAGTGGTTTTGTGCTGTAGCTGCTTTATGGAGAGTAAAAATAAACCCTGGTCACACATGTGCTACTCATTTGAAGGGGGGGGGGGGGCTCACCAGGGGCTTTCATTGTGACCCGTTTGCCTTGAGTTGTTATGATTAGGCACCAACCAGCATGCAATTTACAGATTATTTCCTTAAAATAAGAGGGTACACTTTACACAGTATAAGCAGGGGGGGGGGGGAAATAAAGAGAGTCTTGGTGAGAAGTGGATAAAAATAGAAAATACACACCGCAAAATAATATCCACAAATAGCACACGCAGAAATATGCTATTCTCAACCAGGCTATCAACGATCTGAAGGAGGAGCTTATTCAAACACTGCAAGAAAGAGCGAATGTCAGTGTCTCGCCATTTTCCAGCCATTGCCTATTAGCTCGTTTACTGGGAAAGGCTTCCTGTCCACTAGCAGAAGTTCCTGTGTACACAACCTGGTCAGTGTGCACACGCACACCTTTGTAGAATCAGATTTGAAATGGTGTAATGACTTCATGTTGTGAGAGAGCTGGATGACGACGGCGTCTCTCCTTAGCGTGTGACGTAGCTGTTTCCTGGACTTCCCCGTAGCCCGTACGTGTGTCGGCCTTCTTGAAACTCAAAGAAAAGCAACAGATATGACAAGAGACTTAAAGCTGTTTTTCAAGGTGTAAAGGATTTATACAACTACCAGGACTGCATGAAATTAGTAACAATGGCAGAAGCTGCAGTTCTAAGATGGACAAGCATATACTTACACCTGAGAATTCAACAGCACAGTCACACGCCACATGAATAAAGAATACGGCTCACATTTAGCTTAGCATTTACCTTTGTTGCTTTCGTGTATTTTAAACGGCGATGGACTGGCATCCTATCAGGGAGGTTCTCTTTCCCCTTCCTGCCCCCTGAGCTCTCGAGCAGAGGCAGGAGGCCCAACGTGCACCTGTACTGGGTTATGGATCGATGGGTGGAATTATGGAGGAATAGATTTACAACGCAAAACAGGAGTTAAATCCTTTGATTGATGCCACGTCAAGTTCAAGATTTTTTGTTTTAATCATTTGCCTTCATTTCTTTCTGACTTGAATTTTCATATCCCAAAAAAATTCTCCTGCAGACTAATGGTTTCTTATGCAGTATAACCAGCAAACAGTACAGGGACCGGGCTGGAGGAAAAAATACTTTTTCTTTTGTTTTCTTTGACAGGAGCCACAAAATCCTCCCACACACAGAGTAATATACCTAAAATGATCTGTTTAAATGGTAAGAATGTCAAGGCCGCATTGTGGCTGTGAGTCTTAAGCTTTGGTGAAATCTTTCCTGTTTTGGTGGGTGTGAGAGTGGGCCCTGTTTGTCAAACAGATGGAACATAACTAACGTGTGAGGTATTCACCAAAACGTACAAGAGAGACCAGAAAGGACGAGCCTGATATGGTGAATCTGCCATGAAGCCCTGGGAGACGGAACTGTGAGCTAAGCGTGTCTGAGAAGGTGCTTGATGCTGGGTGTCCTATGTGGACCTCACAGAAGCCGCAAGGGGGCTGGGGGTGTGGCGGCTTTTTAAGTACAGCATTAGATGGCTCTATTTTGGTCAAATAATGACACCTCAGTGTTACAGGACTGCTGGTAAGGCATACCTATCAGACAAGGAGGTCTTTGTGTATATATACAGATTTAAGTACCTTTTAACACAGGGTTTGAAGTGTACGATGAAAAGAAATTGATAAAAATATCTTTACATTCCAAATATGTTTTATTAAATGTGTGGTTTCATTAAAATGAAGTAGAGTGAAATTAAACAGAAACTACGGCAGCAGACTCACAGAAGTCCATGAGATGCATTAAACATCACTAGTCTGGTAGTGGAAGAATGAATAAAAATTCCAGCGTGTGTCTCCTGGCTTCTCTTGTCACCTGAAAGTGCTGTTTCTTTGCCCCTCCTGAGGGCCATCAGCAAGCCCAGGCTTGTAGGAGCATGACTATGGAGAGGGTGATGTTTAATTACATTGTTATTAACGCCTAACCATGAATAGCATCGAAAAGTAGTATGTATTGAATCATTTTACTAGGAACAAGAGAACAGTTTCATCAAATTGCATGAAAGATCAAACAAAGTAATAAAATAATTGATTTAAAATGAATTAATGTGTTTGGGCGTGTTGTATAATCTGGGTTATTTAGTGATTTACCATATTTATTTTATCATTGCCATATGTGACTCATTTCTAAATAATGACACTCAGTTTTAAGCATCAATCAATATCTGTAGATATGGAAGTTGCGCAGAAAGGTAAATACAATGCTGTATTACACACAGTCTGCAGCTGGAAGGCTCAAAAAACAGACTTATAAAGAAATGGTAACATAAAGTCTTCAAATTTATAACACACAATGCCACGTAGTTCATTAATATTTAACTTGGTAGTACAGAGTCAATAGCGTTGCATGATTAACAAAAGATTAATTACTTAACATGTGACTTTAAGTCCAAAAATACAAGCAAGATGATCTTGCTAATCTTCAGAAGTACGACTTACAGCTAAATATGCAACAGTGTATGGCGGTCTGGGTAATAGGCTTGTAGAACATTGAATTTTACATAGATAAATATTTTAGATATCAGATACATAAGTGTTCAATAAAACAATACAAGCTGGTTTTCAGGCAGCATCTGAGGCAGTTTGATGGCAGTTGTGATAGACAGACAGATAATTAGAATGCAAAAGGTAATTTTGGACGTGGACTGATGAATATGAATTATGACTTGTTTGTATGCCTTACGGGGGAATCATAATTACTTGTTTTCTTAAGAGCTGACAGCTTTGGGTAGATTACCCACAATGCCCATTCCTTTGAAGGTTGCCTATAATTGGCCGGCACACGAGGACACTTGTCTGGTTCCTCCGCATTGCTTCGAAATGCAACAACACCAAGAACCTTACCGGGGGTGTCATGGCGTCCCAAAGACAGGAGAGCGAGAGAGGTCATGCTGCCCCAGGCTGCTGCCGTTTTGCTCAGTAGGTCTCAGTTTTTGTGGCTGAGAATTTTTTTCCTGCTCCAATTTTCAGTAACTTAGACCAGTGTTTCCCAATCCGTTCCTTGGGGAGCTGCACACAGTCCGCATGTTTTGTTCCTACTGGCAGGGAGCAAAAAACATGGACTGTCTTCAAGTCCCCTAGGACCAGATTGGAAAACACTGGATGAGTCCTTCTGCAGTCTGTCAGGCGGATGCCAGACTCACTGTGTCACTGTCCCTGCATTTGCTCGCTTCTGAAGGTCAATGTTGTCATTATAGATGGAAGTGCATCTTTTTCTTGCTGCTACAGAATTGTGCATTGAACAGAAACAATAAAATCAATAAAAACAGCACTATTGTTCTTGACTACAGTCTGAATATTTTACATATTTATTAGGCCACTTCACAATCACAGTCATTACACAATCACAATCATTACACAAGCACAATCGTTACACAATCACAAGAGAAAAGTCCAATAGAAACATGGGTAATAACGATAAGCTTTTAACAGACTGATTCTGTGCTTGGGACACTTTACACACTTACAAGCATAATTTCTCAAGATTTTTGACTTTTCACATTTAATAAAAAAAAATAGATTTTAGTATGTTACCTTTTTGTCAGATGCTTTTGCGCAAAGCGATGCGAGTGTGAGCTTGCAGGGTCAGCCAACCTTCCGCGTGACTGGGGTCAGGCACCTTGCTCAAGAGCCCAGTGGTGACATCACTCAGCTGAGCATGGGATACGAAGCAGGAGGCTTCCACTGACAGACAGGGCTTTGAAATGGGGGTACAACATGGTGCACCGTGGCACTGAAGGCTGAGGGTGTGAAGTATTATCAAAATCTATATTGTCACTGTTTAAATTTATCTTTTTGTGTTTGAACTTTCTCATGTTAAATTTTGAATCTTTTCTTTCCTTTGTTATCATCTTTGTATGTTTCAACTCCCCCACCCCACCACCCCCGGAAATACCTCACATGGAACATTCCAGAGTTATGCCAAAAGAAACACCAGGCCATGCAATCCTGCTGTTCTCTCCATGGTCGGCGCTTCTGACAGCAGCGAGGTGCCTTTCCCACGTCACCGTCATCACCCTCGGCGATCGGCGCGGCCGATGTCACCTCGCCGGTGTCACGGCATCGAATTCCAGCGCTGCTATCTTGGCACACTTGAGTGAAACTGCCGTGTCACCTGTTACACCGATCCACAGAGCTCCCCCCCCCCCACCGCTGCCGTAACTGGCAGAGAAAAGGCCTCGAGGCCCCACGCTAACTCAGCCTCTCAGATATTCGCCAGATGCTGCTCCAGGACCAGCCAAACCAGATCCACTTTTAAGTTGGGGCTTGTGGTTGCCATGTTTTGCTTGCACTGCCTCCACTAAACCGAGGCCTATTAAGCAACCCATGATATATATATATATATGTGTGTGTGTGTATATGCATATGTGTCTATAAAAGGCCATTTTTAATATGGATTACTAATATTATCTGCAAATAGTCCCAACAGCTTGTGCTGCAGTCGTTAAATGAGGTTTGCAGTGAGGATCTTGGGCTACAGTGAGGGAGCCTCTCTTTTCACTCCTGGATCAGCAGAGCTGGTCAGGCTCGCTGCTGCTTTTCCGTAAAACGAGGTGAGTGTCCTGACTTTCACGTGGACGAAACCAGCCCTGTCCTGCCACACAACTCCACATGGCCAAACATACTACAGTCACAGTGTGACTCAAGGCATTTTTACCTTGTGCTTCCGGCTGTGTTTTATTACTCTTGAACAACGGCAGAACATGCAGCGCTACGGGAAGTTTATGCTGGAGAACTTACAGCATTGTGTGGAACCTTAAATGCTTAAATGGTCAAGTTTATAATTTTCACCGATTGGCGTACAAGATATGCTCTGACTAGGACAAGAAGAAAAAGTAGATTAAAACAAGAAATATTTTGTAGACAGACATGAATGAGGCCACATATTTCGCTCTTTAACATGAACTTCGCATTTCTGCCATAATTTCTGCCTCAATGTCTCTGCAGGCAGTGAGCTCCGAGTCGATCTCCGCTAACTTAACTAAACACCTTCATGGTTACTTTGGGGGGGGGGGTGCCAAATAGGAAGGTTTCTGCTGCAGTGCTGCAGTATTACGATGTGCGAGAGTCTCCCGGTTTGTAGTAAGAAGGTTCAGATTGAGCTCAGGTCCATCGTGTCTCAGTCATTCACAGATCATCAGCACACAGGCTCAGATTGAGCTTGGGTCCCTGTGAGGCATCATGCCTCAGTCATTCACAGATCATCAGCACACAGTCAAAGGACTAACATTTTACAGTAACTAAAGTAAATTATCAAATTGAGGGCATTGTCTCAGCAAAATCTAGATATTATTAGCAGTAATTTTAAAGCTGTTAGGGGGTTTAGATGGAATTTAACAATTTCATTCCACCACTTTGACTGTGGACCAACTAGTAAGTTATCATAACTACCTATACAAATGAAATGTATATTTCACGAGTATGTGAGATGCCTGGTAGAGCCGCTACGTGCCTGTGAACACGGACGGCAACGGCAGCGGAGAATCCCCTTCTCATCACGGATCAGTTCCCAAACCTCCCAGGACTGGCCGCAGGCCCTGCGACGCAAAGCTGCAGTGAGCCGCAGACAGGCAGTGCGATGAAAACACCAAGACGTGCACGTTTTCATACATTAGTCACTTTAAACTCAACTGAGCAAACACAGTCATCCACCACAACATGTGTACTGTAAAAAAAAAAAAAAAATGTTACAAGACAGACACTCCTTTTGCACACTCCCCAATGTGATCAGATGTTCTTATTGTGAAAGAGCAGTATTTAATTGGCCTTGCTGCACAATGGCAGAAATGGGTGTATAAATAAAATATGAAAGGACATTATGGAGAAAATTACCTGGGCGACTACCTTAAGTTTCAGTGATGGAAAATTTTGCAGGCGAGTGTGTTAAGCAATGCTAACAAAGGTCACGGCACTCCTGCAAGTTGGCGCCGCGTAGATGCCAAGAGCACGACGCAGCCCGGGCGTGTGCCCTGCGAGAGTGGAACGTGCCACGGTGGCGTGGCAGCCGGTGTCGGGGGCTCTGCCGGGCCGCTCCACCGCGTGTCCGCCTGCGCAGTGCGGCGCGTGTGGCGACGCCTGCAGCCCGTTCCCTTGGTCCGCCCGCAAAGTCGGCCACGTGCCACTGGCTCTCCCAGGATCCTCAGCGGCTGTTATCGGAATTTGCCATCGTCCGGCGAATGTTGGAAAAAAACAGAGACCGTGTAGCGACACACGGCGTCAACTTGCCGGTGCTTTCATAAGAACATAAGAACATAAGAACTATACAAACGAGAGGAGGCCATTCGGCCCATCGAGCTCGCTTGGGGAGAATAACTAATAGCTCAGAGTTGTTAAAATCTTATCTAGCTCTGATTTAAAGGAACCCAAGGATTCAGCTTGCACTACATTATCAGGAAGACTATTCCATACTCTGACTACACGCTGTGTAAAGAAGTGCTTCCTTAAATCCAGTTTGAAATGTTCTCATGTTGACAAGCACGAGGGTGTCGTTGGATTGGGCCAGATTTTTCAGGATTTAGGGAAACATTGGACATTTACAGCTGAGTTAACAGGCACCTCTCAGCCCAGACGATGAGGAGATGGACATGGCCATTGCACTTGTATTGGTATAAAACCAAGAAGTTCGTCCCATTGGGTTTTGTAGCTGAAGGTTTTATCAGCCGAGGTGGAAGGATTCTGGAAGATGGACACGGGGCGAGCACTTATGAGGGCGCTCTTCATCAACATTGCCCCTCCTGGATAGTTCACGCTGCACTTCTGCATTGCCCCCCCCCTCCAATTCACCTCCTCGAAATCCAAGATAGCCTTTCCCTGAGGACTGCTAAATTATGGCTTAAGAGAAAGGCTTATTTTTCCAGAGTTGCAGAAATGTCTTCCTGAAATTTTGTGTAGAGTGAAATATAACAACAACAACATTCCTAAAGGGTATAATTTTCTTCCGGCGGGTAAAAGTTGTCCATTATGGTCAGGGTCAGGGAACAGATTGTAACCAGTCATCAGAAGCCCTCGGGCCACATTAAAGCGGCTTGGAGCTGGGAAGAGGCCCCGTCTATGGGCACAAACACAGCAGTCACCACCGGGAGCGATGCAGAGCTGCCCCCATTCTCCAAACCGCTTTGTTTTCTAAATCAGCGCATATAGCCCCTAAATCACAGTATATAAATATCCGTAAGAATTCCTGTAATTTCCATGCACTGATATTCATGCTAAGCAGCATTAGGCAGAGCTGGAGAGCAGCGACGTACATTATGATGCGCTGTGCCCCGAATGACCGTCAGCAGAAATGTGCCGCTAACCACTTCGGAATGGATTTAACGTACCACAACGCCCTCCTCAAACGCTGCTGCGTTACTGACACTTCCGTCAAGTGCAACGCCTGCGAAGGTGACTGAGCAAAACCGGCATGAAGCTGAAGGCGAAATACCTGCCATGCCGGAAGTAACTGATCAATCAGCTTCACATTGTTTTATTAAGACTCGTGGCTCATAGATGAGGCAACGTACGGTGACAGGCGGCGTTAGCAAAGCAGTGAGTCACCTGTGCTTCTTTCAGAGGAGACCTTGAAGGCCTTGAAAAGGCTCACAGCTATCAGGGACAGACATCTCTGTGATGAAATCTTGCTACTTCATTCAGCCGTTACCTGGGAATATTTTGGAGTGCTACTCCACAGTGGCTGTGCTAGGACACACCTTTTCCTAAGCTCACATGGACCATAAAAAGATATCATATATTATAAGAATCAATGCAAGAAAAATAAGTAAATTGAGAGACGGGTTTATTTCAGCAGCCGAAAGTGGTACAGTTACTGTAGGTCAATGCACAGCTGAGGTTCTCACTATAATAACTAGCTGAATCTAAATAATTAGCTGAGATTAAATACAGGTTCATTTTTTTGAATCCCTAAAGGATCTTCTCCTAGGTAAGTTGTTATTTTTTCTAAAAAAAAGGATTTTTATTTCCCCATTCCTGGTTTGTGTTATATTGTTTGCAGATATATCCGATGGCAATTGACATTGATGGTAAATGGCAGTAGCGAAAGCCCATTTGGTAAGTATGTAGAAATTTTTATAGGTAAGTAAGGCAGATCCCTGGATAACATCAATAAAGGCGACAGTATGAATTATATTAATTAATCCCGATGAAGGCCTGGGGCTGAGCTGAAATGCTCCTGTTGGACCCACAGTAGATGTGTAATGAAGGCAAACCATCTGAGTCTGGGGCCGCTCTACATTATTTCAGTTTTAATCCATTGATGTTTGTGATTGTGTGGTGTTTAGTATAAATTATAGTCATTTCCTCAGTTATTCATTACACTTGGTTTCTGACATTGTTTTTTGCTCTCGGAAAGCATAGAAAAAGTGATAAACACGGACGCTGTGTGTGATTGCATGCTGAGTGTCAGTGCTGACCCCCCACCCTCCAAGGCAGAGTGGCACTGGCTGACAAGTCCGCGCCCCCTCTGAAGTTGGCACCCTAGGCAGCCGCCTATGTCGCCTATAGGGTCGGCCAGCTCTGCTCCTCTCATAGGCGCCCGGTGGAGCACATACGGGCTTGCCGAAAGTCTTGAGACGCTTTGTTTAATTCTGTAATAATGTTGCAAATCTATTGGTTTCGTGGCAATGTGTAACAAATCTGCACATATCATCCACACAGACATTTTCTTTTCATTAAGGGTCATAACTTT